TGGCTGTCTGCATGGAGCCTGCTTCTCCTCTGCCTGTGTCTCTGCCTCTCTCTCTCTCTCTCTCTCTCTCTCTCTCTCTGTGTGTGTGTCTCATTAATTAATAAATAAAGTCTTTAAAAAAAAAATCAGCCACCCCTCACAGGCCTGGGGCAGCCCCTCTTCCTGCCCAGGGGTCCTGTCCCCAAGCTTGAATAAAACCACCATTTTGCACCAAAGACATGTCAAGAATTCTTTCTTGGTCGCCGGCTCTGGACCTCACCCCACCAAACCTCACCTATAATTTCAAAACTTCATCACTTCCAGGTTTACATAAGGAAAATGTGGGCAAAGGTGGGTGGGTCCATGCAGGTAGTCAGTGAAGGTTAAACCATCATTGTCTTGCAGTTGATCATGGGTGGGGTCTTACTGGCTCTGGGCAAGCCTTATTGCTGGAGGGGATAGTTTTGGGGGATGCTCTGCTGCCCTCAGGGACTTTCATCTGAGCCAAGAGATTGAGCTGGAAGGAAGAACCCAACTAGAAAGTTTGAGGTCAAAATGGAGGCAACCAAAGTCCACTTTCATTACCTGACCCCGAGGAGGAAGGGAAACTTCCTTGATATAGTCTCTCTGTATTCCTGATCTGTCATCCTATTCCAGCAGCAGTTTGAAAGTTATTTGTGCAATGTGTTATCCAACTCCTAAGAGAGCAGCTGCTGGCTCTGCAGGCTAAGAATGCCCAGACTACCTCTCCAGGCTGCCTGAATTGGAATCCTGGCTCAGCTGTATCCCCTAAAGCCTCTTTCTTTCTTTCTTTCTTTCTTTCTTTCTTTCTTTCTTTCTTTCTTTCTTTCTTTCTTCTTTCTTTCTTTCTTTCTTTTTTTTTTAAAAGATTTTATTTATTTATTTACAGAAAGAGAGAGGCAGAGACATAGGCAGAGGGAGAAGCAGGCTCCTCGCAGGGAGCCCGACTTGGGACTTGATCCTGGAAGTCCAGGATCAGGACCTGAGCCGAAGGCAGACACTCAACCACTGAGCCACCCAGGCATCCCCCTAAGCCCATTTATTAACTTGTGTCTCACTGTGCAATGAGGGACTAATTGTGCCTGCTGTGCAGGATGACCATGCAGAGTCGAGTTGGCGTTGGCGTGTTGAAAAACCTTCCAAGCTTTTCTAATTGACATGCAGCAGTTGCCAGGAGAAATCGATACGCAAGTTTCTTGTGTATCATCCACAAAAGGGAGAGGCATACTGTGGTTTAAATAAAATTGTGGGCAATGCAGGTAGCTTTCCTTCCTGGCTCTAGTGACCCTGACCTCGGGCTGAGTGGAGGTTTCAGGCTTTGCAGACCGCACAGCGATTCTACCTACCCAGGTCAGGAGGCTGTCACTGAGCAGACCCTGGAGGCTCAGAGCAATTAAATGATTCCCGGGGAAACCACTTCGGGCCATCAGAAAGTACTGGGACCAGAATCCCGTCAGGTCATTTTCCCAGGTCTCTCTACTACACTCACGTGTCCTTCTGGAAAACAGATGAAAAGACAGAGGCTGGGGAGAGGCAGATTACAGGTAGGAGAACAGCATACCTGTGAGATAGCTGCAGTCCCGTGGAGCTTTGGTCTGATTATCAAGAAAAAAGATGCACAGGCATACAAGGTACACAGAGGCAAGCACAGCCACCCAGCTCCTGCTGCAGCCCTAAAAGCAATGCTCTGGAGTTCCAAAAAGAGCTGCCCCTCTAAGTAGAGGGTGGATGGCACCCAGGAGTTTGTGTCTGTCTCCCGGCACACAGAGGCCAAGCAAAGGCGCCCTGGCCTCCTATAAGTTCTTCATGGCCTGGCCTGCTGCTAAGGCGGCAAAGCAGAGGGACAGGCAATGAGGACAGTTCCCATGTCTTCCACACAAAACCAGTCCTCTTCCCATGAGGTCTCCCCTCACTGCATTTCAAAGCACACCAAGGTGTTGTGATTAGAAGTGACCTTTTCCTTCTCTGGATTTATCATGACTACACCCTCACTATCCAGAGCCTGAGGCTCAGGCAGGGCTGCAGCTGGTTTTTTAGCCACAGCCTATGACCTGGGAACTGACTCACCTGGGGGAAACTCCGTGGTCAGAGCAACTGCCCAACCATGGTCCCCAGGAGGGCCCTCCCCCAGGCAGAGGGAGATGAGCTCAGCCTGGGGAGAAGCAGGCGTTCTGGCTTCAGTCAAGCCTTTGTCTTAGACTTCTCTTTCCCAAGTGTCCATGAAGATGCAGAAAAGCGATTTTCTTCCCTCTGCCTCTTTAAACCTAGCTCAAAATCTCACCTCCACCAAAACTTAGTGACCAAAATCATGTGTTCTGGGGCACTAGGTGGCTCTTTCGGTTGAGTGTCTGCCTTTGGGTCAGGTCATGATCTTGGGGTCCTGTGATTGAGCCCCAGGTCAGACTCCCTGCTCCCCGTGGACTCTGCTTCTCCCTCCCCCTCTGCACAACCCCCCACTCGCTTGTGCATTCTCTGTCAAATGAATGAATAAAAAAAAATCATGTTTTTCATGTTCTCAGACTGTCTAGCCTAGCAGAAGACTACATCTATTACATTCCCTCTGGGGCGGGGCAGGGCGGGGGGAGACTCCCTGGGGTGGGGTGGGGGCAGTGGTAACCCAGGAGATCTCCTCCGCCACCCCGCACCTCACTCAAGCAGGCTGGTAAAGCAGTGCCTGAGGCACTTTGCAGCCCATGCGCTGGGACATCAGGATGCAGAATGATGGAAATCCAGACAGGTGCAGCTCCCGGTAAGCGCTGAAGAGGATCAGGACACGCCACCCCATGATATGCCACTGTGCATAAGTGCAATTGTGAGCTAAAGGCATTCTGAGTTCCTGGAATTCCATATTTGCCTAAAAGAAGTGCCTCCCTAAAGAGCTGATATCCTAAATCCCCTCCCATCGTGAGAGCTTCACCAAAGGTCAATAAAAGACAGACTTTTACCACAGGTAAGGAGACCAGAAGTCAGCACCACACCCACACAGACTTTTTATAAACAACAGTACCTTCCATCTATTTCCTAAGGGACTTCTGTCTTCCAATAAAGTACTTTGTGGGACACCGGGGTGGCTGGGTGGCTCAGAGGTTGGGCATCTGCTTTCAGCTCAGGACATGATCCTGGAGTTCCAGGATCCAGTCCCTATCAGGCTCCCTGCATGGAGCCTACTTCTCCCTCTGCCTATGTTTCTGCCTCTCTTTCTCTGGATCTCAAATAAATAAATAAATAAATAAATAAATAAATAAATAAGTATCTTCAGAAAAAAATAAAATAAAGTGTTTAAAGTGCGTTGTGTTTCCGTAAGTACCCTTTCTCCCTATGCTTCCCTAAAGTCATTTGTTCTCCCTTCTGGGCTACCCTACCACCTACTAAGATGGTCTATAGAAGCCCCAAAATCTAACCACCAACTCGAATCACATTTCTCTATAAATTTCTGTATGGAAGTGCATAAACATGTCTTTCTTCCTGCTTATCTATCTTTTGCCAGTTTAATTTGGAGGTTCCCAATTAATGAATACAAGAGGGTAGAGAGTTTTTCTTCCCAGCAGTGAAGACCAGCTGAGACCCTGCACGGAAACTTTTTTTTTTTTTTTTAAGATTTTATTTATTCATGAGACACACACAGACGGGGGCGGGGGTGGGGTGGGGCAGAGACACAGGCAGAGGGAGAAGCAGGTTCCAAGCTGGGAGCCTGACATGGGACTTGATCCCAGGTCTCCAGGATCAGGCCCTGGGCTAAAGGCAACACTAAACTGCTGAGCTACCCGGGCTGCTGCCCATGGCATGGAGCATTTCTATTCCAGAGGGCCTGAATGAATCTCACTCTAAATATTTTCCTCTTCAGCCTATGAAAGTCCTCATGTTAACAGTAGCTTCAGTAGATGGGTTGTAGTTGTTGCTCATAAACATCCTTTCAATCATTAGTGTATTAAAGCTCAAATGAATAAGAGACTCAGAATAATTAAAATGAACCTCATAACAAATTGTAGGAAAAGTCCTGTCAGTATTTCCAATAAAAAATGGGAAAGGTGCCAAAGACAGCTTTCCATCAGAGTGCTTCTTGATTTATGGACCTTTGCTTTACTCAATTTGTTACGAGCTAGTGAAATTATTCACCTTCCCCTGGTTCCCACCAAATAGTAAAAAAAAAAAAAAAAAAAAAAAAACCCACATTACCTATTTGAAAGAACAATTCCATTAGTTAGTTACAAAATTTAATTGTAAAGATCAAGCAGTGGTTATTGGTCAAACCAATCCACATTAATAGCTTTGAAGTATGCAGCTAGTTCTTAAATAAAGGTGACAAATGCCAAACAGATTCTTCTAACACTGTTCAAGATCTAAATAAATGTGATTCTGGACATAATTCAATCCACAAGGCTAACTGAATGATAGTGCAGTCATCAATAATTAAACCAAAGGCATAATTTTCCAAATCACTTTTTAGTTAAACAATAAATTCTAGTTTTAAAGTCTAAAGCTACAAAAAAATTCAAAGCAATCTAACTATTTTTCTACCTGAGATCAAAACAAGTTTCTTTTATCCTATCTAAACATAATTCTTAAAAAAAGAAAAAAAAACATAATTCTTGGCTTTGAGGTAAATCTGAATTCACGTGATATACTTTGTCAAACTTTTCCAAAAAAATTTAAGCCCTGCTTTAGAGAGAAATTCTCATGTTACACATACATATTTACATATTTTTTTCTTCAAAGACTAATGACAAATTTATGAGGTTAACAAGCATGTAATGGGACCATGATACTAATAATGTGAAAATAAAAAGCCATTCATTTATACAAAGTGTTCCTGTAAGGTGCAATATGAAATGGGATCACTATGTACATACACAAATCACCAAAAGTTCAGCAACTAAGCTCACTTTGAAAAAATTCTATTTTTTTGGAGCAGAGGTTACCAAGTTGTGATGTATAACAAAAATATTGTGTATAAAAACTCCGTTACCAAGGATTAGCCTAAACTGGCAATAACTGCAGCTTAAATTAAAAATTAAACCCAGCTAGATCTTTACTGTGGCTATGCAATTTTTGCTTTGTGGCATGCACGTTTTACTGAGGTAACAACCTCTTATCTCTTGCCTCTCCTCCTTATGCTCCCCTTGCCCCCAGTTTCCTTCTTCATGGCTGTCTTTGGCAATGCTTCCAAATCTTGAAAGCAAAAGAACCTGCTAAAGTAAATGAGAAGGATGAAAAATAACACGATATAAGATGTATAAAAACCAATCTAAAACTACGAATCAAGGAAAAAAAAAATATACAAGGACAGCCGAGCAGTAGTATACCCTCAAAGGAAAGAGAACATTAAAAAAAAAAAAAAAATAGGGGATCTGTACTCCTGGCCCTTCTTGCACATTATCTCCTGATTTAGAAGAGCATGGAACCGAAACGTCAAACTCTGAAAAGGTAATGGCTTTGAAGGAGGAGCTAGAGAAGTGAATACATGATAAAGAAGTACAGCAGCAGCTTTAGCTGTCAATGAGTTTCTTTGCTCTGGCATTGGCAATATCAATACGATCTTTGTTGGTGTCAGCCTTTTCTGTGATCCGGTCTGTTTTTCGATTTTGAGCCTCGATCTCATTGCCCATTTCCAGGGCCATGTTTTTTAGGTTTCCTAGGATACTGCCCACTTGAGTCAGGTTCTCTTCGATCTCATCTTCTCTAGCATCATTAGTTATACGTTTAATGTATCCACCGCTAGCTGCTCCAGTGGCTGGTTGTGGAGGCTGCCCATTTGTCACTCGGCCTGGCTGCTTAGATACTACATTACTAGGAGAGTTGTCTTCACCATCTCCCCATGTTGCCTTGTAGGCCTTACCGGACTCAAAGTTCTTTGTCCTATTACATGGACAGACACAAAGGCCACAGCACTTGTTGAGTTCCGTTAAAGTCTTCTCTGCCTCTCTCATGTCTTTATTTATTTGGTCCATGCCTTCTTCTATGCGGTTTAGTTGCTCCCCTTGTTCATCCAGCATAGTGATAGTCTTGATTCCTGCATCCTGAGACTCAATGGCTAAACCCAGGATTCTCCTTGTACTTTCCAGAGACTCATCAGTAACCTGGTGGGCTCTTAGCTGAATTTCTTCTGGTGACAGATTATCCATGATGAATTAAAACTTTTGATAAGCAAAGACACTGAAACGTGGATATTCTCAGACACCTCCAAACTCTAGCTCAGAGTCATTCGATCACTCGGAAACGGGGGTTTTGAAAAGTGGAGGTGCGACAGGAAACTGGGCCCACCAAGTTAAACAGGATGGTGCAGATGACCATGGACCCAAAGCGAGTCGGGTCCTGGGTAAGGGAAACTGTTTCATGAAAGGAGCCCCAGCTGCAAGCTGCAGAGGTCCTGCGAGCTGGGGAACCCGGTGGAAGTGATGTGGAGATGAAAGGCAAAAGGAGCGTAGATGGAATGACATTAGCTCACAGTTTGCTGCTGCCCATTGATGACTACTTGAGTCCCGCGGAGTAGAACCTTCCTCAGGGAACTCCCAACTGCCCTCGGGTTAACGCTTTACTGGAGGCCAAATGCAATCCTTGCTTAACAATAGCCAGGCCTCTGGGATCCCGAAAGTCTTCATTAACATATGAAAGTCTTTTTGGAAACTTCCTTTATTTCTGCCCCTCCCAACTTAAAAGTATATAATCAATTGCTCCTTATGACCCCAGAGCAGCTCTTCCTGCCCAAGGGTCCTGTCCCTATGCTTTAATAAAAACTTCTTTTTTTGCACCAAAAACAGCTGAAGAATTCTTTGACCTTTGGTTCCCAGACCCTAACATCGTGTCACAGGGGCATGCATTTGTCCCGCCACTACCTGCGTTGACTCTAGATGAGCTGTTTGGGCTCCACTTGCTTATCAACGGAATGGACAAGGTAGACGTGCCCAGTGGTTCTGATGTGGGAAAGACGTCAGGGTTCGAAGGTGACCTCCAAGAAAGAATCCTTGAGGCGTCTTTGGTGCAGAAAGGTGGTTTTATTTATTTTTTATTTTTTTAATAATAAATTTATTTTTTATTGGTGTTCAATTTGCCAACAGACAGAATAGCACCCAGTGCTCATCCCGTCAAGTGCCCCCCTCAGTGCCCGTCACGCATTCACCCCCACCCGCCGCCCTCCTCCCCTTCCGCCACCCCTAGTTCGTTTCCCAGAGTTAGGAGTCTTCATGTTCTGTCTCCCTTTCTGATATTTCCTACCCATTTCTTCTCCCGAAAGGTGGTTTTATTAAAGCCCTGGGACAGGACCCATGGGGAGACAGAGCTGCATTGGGGTTGTAAGGGGTGATGATGATGTACTTTCAGGTTGGGACAGGGTTGGAAGGATGTACTTTCAGGGTTAGGGACAGAATAGACCTCCCAAGTATTTTGGAAACAAGGTTTCCAGGATCCTGAGGGAAGCTAGATATTGTTAGGAAAAGTCATTTATTACTGCTTAGTAAACCCCCAGTCATGAGACCCTTCGGATGTGTATTAGTGGGTCATATGCTTGGGAGATGATTCCCAGCCTGTATCTATGTATGCACGGGGGGCAGGGGGTGGTGGTGGTGGGGATAGAGACAAAGGAAGTTTCGAAAGGAAATTTTTTTTTTTAAGATTTTATTTATTTACTCATGAGAGACACACATACACAGAGAGGCAGAGACACAGGCAGAGGGAGAAACAGGCCCCATGCAGGGAGCCTGACGTGGGACTCGAACCTGGGTCTCCAGGATCACGCCCTGGGCTGAAGGCAGCGCTAAACCACTGAGCCACCCGGGCTGCCCTCCAAAGGAATTTCTATATGTTTAAGTAGACTCACAGGGCCCAGGGGTTGGGCACAGATTGCCTGTTGCCCTCAGCATAGTGTCCACATCGGGGCAGCAGGGTCCCTGGAGGAGGGTCCCTTCACTTGGTTCAAGGACGTGTTGATGGGCTGTAGGTGCTCAGAAACTGAAATAATTTCCCTTCTGCTTTTGTTTCTGTGATCAACATCTCCAAAGCCAGGGATGCACCTTTATACAAATCTCAGCACTGGGACCCATTTCCCCCTTTTCCAGGAGATGGTAAGGTGGATTCATTCCAGAGAATTCCTTGCCATGCCAGTGTTTTGCCCCTTGTCCCTCTTATTCCATTCTAGATAAGGGAATGGTATAAAGGGATTTTTTTTTTTTCTAAAGATTCTGTTTAGAATAGAATATTCTCATACAGAGAGAGGCAGAGACACAGTCAGAGGGAGAAGCAGGCTCCCTGTGGGGAGCCCAGTGCTGGACTTCATCCCAGGACCCCGGACTCTGAGAATTTCAGCACAAATTGAGAGGTTTGGAACAGAGCTCTGTGTTGACCAGACCCAATTTACTTTTTTTTTTTTTTTCTAATTTACTTTTACAATGAAAAGCCAACTCTAGGCCTGGCCAACCATGAATCTGGCCATAGGGCTTATTTGGAACCCACATTTTAACTCACTCAAGACTTCTTTTCACCAGCTACCCGAGAAAGCCGGGATTTTGCTTTGTGACACAGAATTTGTCAACTAAGGAAGTAGAAATCTAAATGTGACAGTTGATTGGATGTGTCAGCATGGCATGGCCATGGGGGGCAGATATTTGGTCAAAAATTTTGGTGATGGTTTCTGGGAAGGTGTTTTCGGATGAGATTAGCATTCAAATCGGTAGACGCTGAATAAAGCAGGTGGCTGTCTGCAATGTGAGTGGGCCTCAGCCAGTCAGATGAAGGCTACTGTAGACTGAATGTTCATACCCTCCCCAGATTTATATGTCGAACCTAATCCCCAGTGTAACGGTATGAGGAAGTAGAGCCTTGAGAGGTGATTAGGTCATGAGCCTCCTGGCCCAATACAGACCCAGAGAGCTCAGGGAGCTCCCTAAGCCCTTTCACTGTGTGAGGACACAGTACATGTCTGCTTGTGAAGTAAGCAGCGAGTTCTCAGCCGACCCTAGATCTGCTGGAGCCTCCATCTTGGACTTCCCCAACTCTATAATGTGAGCAATATTTAAGACACAATTGTCCAGCCACTCGGTCTCTGGCACTTTCGTTATTGCAGCCCAAACTCAGACAAAAGTCCTAATAAAAGCCTGACCTTTCCCAAGAAAGAAAGGATTCTGCCAGCAGACTGCCTTTAGGCTACAGCTGCAAGTCTTCCTGAATCCAGCCAGCCAGCCCCCACAATTATGTGAGCAATTTCCTCAAAATAAACACACACACACACACACACACACACACACTGTATTGGTGACATTTCTGCAGAAAATCCTTGTAGGCACTGTTAAGATTTTTTAATTTTTAATTTAAGTAATGTCTGCACTCAGTCAACATTGGTCTTGAACTCATGACCCCAAGATCAGGAGTCACATGATCCACTGACTGAGCCACCCAGGTGCCCTTCCTTAAAGGAAGGAAGGAAGGAATGAAGGAAGGAAGGAAGGAAGGAAGGAATTATTAAATTAAGAAAGAAAAAAAATACTGTTAAAAAAAGGAAGGAATAAAGAAAAAAGAAAGATCTAACTGGCTTTATTCAATATTCACAAATTAGGCAGCATCCCATCTAACAAACAGAAGGAAACTCTGAGGCTTTGTACAAAATGAAAGGCTTTAATAGGCAGAAAGGGGCAGGGATACAGAAGTCATAAACAAAAGAAATTATTTCAGGGGAGGTCAACTTCTTTGGGGGGAAGGCTGGGGATCTCTCGTGCAGATTACCTTACTAGAGTTGATTGGGAAATTCCAGACTGAGTGGTTTAAAATTCTATTCTGGGAGAGGCTGACACCGCAGTTAGATTAGTTATTAAGTCTTGATGGGACTTAGCAAAAGGGACTGTACTTTGGGCCTGTTGTTCTTCTTTATCAACTCACTGGGGTATCACCCCGTCTCTCCTCTCACCTGCCCCCGGGGTTGCAGACTGGGATCCTGGCCCACCAGCAGAATCCTGGGTTGTTCCCCTGGTCTATGATCTCACACAAAGCCAAACTGTCCTCACCTGCCAAGGGGGATTTCAGGTAACTATTCACGTTTCTTTCAGGTTTAACACTCTGGACTCTTGACTGAAGAGAACCATTTCCTGAGGGAGCATTTCTTCACTGGAAAACCAGACCATTAAGGATTTTAATTTCACAGAATCGTAGGACATCACTGATTAACTGGCTGTATTTGAGTTTAATCATCCCTTGAAAGATTTAGATCCTCAGTAATCACCATAGTGAGTTGAACTGGGCTACCTTGGAGATCTATTCCCTGGAAACTTGTGGATGCCACCATATTTGGAGAAAGGGTCTTTGCAGATTAATTAAACCAAGGTTTTTGAGATGAGACCATCAAGGATTATGGGTTGTTCTTCATTCCAATGAGACAGAAAACATGGTGAAGAGACAGAGGTGGGGTTGAGGATGATGCAGCCACAAGCCAAGGGATGCCTGGAGTCCCAGAAGCTGTTGTAACTGAGGGATGTCACAACAAATTGTCACAAACTGGGTGGCTTAAAACATCCAGGATGTGATCTGTCATAGTTCTGGAGGCCAGAAGTCTGAAACCAAGGTGTTGTGGGCTCTAGGTTTCCCACTCTGTCTTGCATCTTCCAGCTTCTCTTGGCTCCAGGGTCCATCAGCTTATGGCCCCTCACTCAATCTCTGAGCTTGAGGCCAGGGTGGCCCCTCCATCCTGGCTGAGCTTGTTCCCATGTGTCCCTTCTTCTACCCATGTCCCTTCTTATAGGAACAGTTGTCATTGGATTTCAGGCCCATACAGGTAATCCAGGGCAATCTATTCTCAAAAATGTTTAATGTAATTACATCAGCAAAGAAAAGTCCTTTTTTTGTAAATAAGGTCACATTCACAGGTTCTGAGGGTTAGGACATGGACACATGTCTTTTTTTTGAGGGACAGAATTCAACCCCTTTTATCCCTATCCAGTTTCCCCTCTGGCGCCATTTTTTTTAAAAAAGCTTCTATTTAAATTCCAGTTAGTGAACATACAAGTACTACTAGTTTCAGGTGTAGAATACAGTGAGTCAACAGTTCCATAGGACACCTGGAGCTCATCACAACAGGTGCACTCCTTCATCCTCATCACCTAGGGGCCATGTTTTAATCCCATTTTATTAACACCTGGGGCCATGTTTTAATCCCATTATATTTGCACCTTGTTGTTGTCCTGCTTTAAAAATTCTCAGGAATCTTCAATGAGCATTCTTTCCCCCAAGAATAATTGTTTTAACTTGGGAATTGACGCCTTAGAGTGAGACCTATGGAGTCTCAAGATTAATAACATAAGAAACAGGTGTTGGTGTGGATGTAGAAAAAGGGGGAAATCTCTTACACTGTTGGTGGGAATGCAAACTTGTGTGGCTACTCTGGAGAACAGTGTGGAGGTTCCTCAGAAAATTAAAAATAGAACTAGGATCCAGCAATTTCACTACTAGGTATTTATCCAAAGGATACAAAAATACGAATTTGAAGGGGGACCTGCGCCCTGATTTTTTAGCAGCATTATCTACAATAGCCAATTTATGGAGAGAGCCCAAATGCCCATCAACAATGGGATATTAGTCATCAGAAGAATGAAATCTTGTGATGTGCAGTGAGGTAGGTGGAGCTAGAGAATGTTATGCTGAATGTAATAAGTTAGGTAAAGACAGATACCATATGATCTCACTCATATGTGGAATTTAAGAAACAAAGCAAACATAGGGGGGAAACAGGTAAACCAAGAGACAGTCTTAACTATAGAGAACACACTGATGGTTATCAGAGGAGGGAGATGGGTGATGGGTGATGTGTACTAAGGAGGACACATGGGATGAGCACCAGGTGTTGTATGTAAGTGATGAATCACTCAGTTGTGCATCTGAAATGAACATTACACTGTATGTTAATTGGAGTATAAATAAAAGCTTAAAATAAAAAGTATGGAACCTCACTGGGTGGTGAGGGGTACATCTCTGCAGCTACTTGAGTTACAGGGAGTCCCAGAAAGAGCATTCAGGAGATACGGCCCCTAAGCAACCCCGGGGTCTTGCTATGAGGAGGCTGGTCCAGGTGTTCAGGGGCCTCACAATCTCATGCTCTAATGCTGGCTCTCCATGAGGCAAATTCCTCCCTCCTTCCCTCCTCCCTCCTCCCTCCTCCCTCCCGCTCCCTCCCTCCCTCCCTCCCTTCCTTCCTTCCTCCTCCCTCCCTCCCTCCCTCCCTCCCTCCTCCCTCCCTTCCTTCCTTCCTTCCTTCCTTCCTTCCTTCCTTCCTTCCTTCCTTCCTTCCTTCTTTTTGTTTTGAGAGGGAGAAGGGTAGGGAGGGGCAGGGGGAGAGAGAATGTGGTGCCAAACCTGGCTCGAACTCACAACCCTGATATCACAACCTGAGCCAAAATCAAGAGGTGGATGCTCATCCAACTGAGACTCCCAGGCACCCAAAGCAAATTCCATTCTTCATCATTCATTCATTCTTCACAGCCACAGCCTGTGTCTTTTCCGGCCCATGGTGTTTTGCCGACATGTATCCCAGCCCCTCTATACTTCCACAAGATGTGTAGCCCTTATACACAGCTAATTGTTTTATGTGGATTAAAAAGCGGGGAGGCCATCCACTGTCCGTGGCTTATGTGGCGGGCCAGCCTTTGTGTGACGAGGTTGGCAGCCTGCCCGTGAGACCTGGGCTGTCCCGAGATGTTGGAGGGAAGCCCCAGCCGTCACACTTGTGCTCCTGGGGAATTGGCCGTCCCAGGTCTTCTGCATTTTACAGGTGGAGTGTCTGTGCTTCGGGGCACTGGGGATCATGAGCATGTGAATCACGGTGCCCAGGCTGTAGGCCGCGGTTTCCAGGGGGAATCAAGTTTCCAGTGGGGGTTGGATGGTCAAAGCCAGTACAGAGGGGCCCCCAGGGCTCCAGCCCTGGTGAACTCACATCTCAAAGAACTGACTTCTTGATGCTGGGTGCCCTGCGGGGGTGTGGGGGCCGCAGGGGGTCAGGCCACCCAGTCTTTCTCCTACTGCTCCTTTCCTGTCTGGCCTTCTTACCTTCCAGCCTTGATGCGTGGAGCTCTGATATATATATATATATATTAAAGACTTTATTTATTCCTGAGAGACACACAGAGAGAGGCAGAGACACAGGCAGAGGGAGAAGCAGGCTCCATGCAGGAGCCGGATGTGGGACTCGATCCTGGGATCAGGATCACGCCCTAGGCGGAAGGCAGGCGCTCAACCGCTGAGCCACCCAGGGATCCCGGAGCTCTGGTTTTATTTGTTTTAGAGACAGTGCAGGACCAGGGTGGGGGGCAGAGGGAGACAGAGAGTCCTCAGGCCGACTCCCCTCTGCGCCCAGAGCCCAGGGGCGCTCGACCCCAGGACCCAGAGATCACGACCTGAGAAGAAATCGAGTTGGCTGCTTCACAGACTGAGCCTCCCTCCCAGGCACCCCGACGGTTACCAACTTCTATTGGTGGAAAACGTGCCCGGGCTTGTGTGATGGGGTTGGGACAGTCCGTCCCCTTGGTTACTCCACAAGCACTAGAGCAGGTGCCTTGTCCAGAATCTGCACTTGGCGGAGGAGGAAACACTGTCATGGGTGAGCAGCAGGGACCGCCATCTGAGTTGGGGGTGGGTGTGGATCAGCACCTTCCTTCCATCTGCCTTATGGCGTGACTCAGGATGGCAAGAGCTCAGGGGCCTGGAGACAGGCCCCAGCAGGGTCAGGTCATGTGGCCACAGTGTGAACCTGCCGGGGCAGGGACAAACGCTTTCCTCCCTCCTCTGGAGAGGGCCCAGTTCAGGCCACCAAGACCAAGACAGGCTTCACAAGGTGCTGTCCACTGCCCAGAGGGACCAGCCTCAATACCCTTGCACCTTCAGCTCTCCGGCCGACTCACCACCTTTCTCAGGCTGCACTGCACTTTAATTTTTTGTTGTTTTCAGCTAAAATTAAAATACAAATATGAATTCAGTGAGATTTTATTATGCACCCGTTCAGTTCGTGAGAACAATACAGAGGGATGGGAGGCACAGGGAGGGCAGAGATGCTTCTCAGTGACGCAGTCTCTGAACTATGGGGCACAGCTGCCACCTCGGATGCCTGCCTGGCCCCGGGGACGGCAGGAAGGGTGAGGGTGGAGGCAGGTGGGCCAGCTCTGGGTCTGCAACCCCCCAGCGCAGGGAACCCGGGCTTCTAGTGCACAGGGTGAACCTGGGATTCTCACTCCACCACCCAGGACAGCGTCCCGGGGGCAACAACTCCTGATTCCTAGGCGCCCTGCGCGGCTTTGGGTAAGTGGGAGGTGGCCTCCCAATACGGAGGGACATTAGGAAATGCACAGCCTCTTTGTAGGTAGGGGTCAGTTCTGTTACACCCCAGTTGTTTCCTACTTATGACCCAATTTTACACATAAAATAAGTAAGTGGAGCAATGCTTTTAGGCAAGTGTGTGAAGTGGGTGAGGTGCTATGCTCACCACCAGTGACAGAACCTCGGATGAGGGCACAGGCAGATGGGTGCACGTTAGTGTCTGGCTTCTATTTGTAATTTCCATGCTCTTAGCCTTAAGACTTTTTGGGTTTTCTCCCCTTTCCTGGCAGATCAGTAAAAAGGCCAACTTTTTAGAAATGAAGAGCCCCAAAGGTTTATTTATCGTTGAGGGTCTGACCGAAGGGTGTTCTCGCACTTCTTGCTCCTAGGCAAGGGGTGCATCTACACAGGCACGGAACTTAACTACAGGACCTTTTAGCTCTTTCGCGGGGTCTGGGGGCGTGGTATCTGCATGTGACGATGAAGTACCTGGTGGGGGACAGGACTGGACATATAAATGACACAGAACACCTGCCTGGTTGCTGGTCTTAGTTGCTCACGATCCAGAACATCAGGACCGTCCCTGCTGCCTGAGGCTCCCCTACCAGCTGTCACTCCCAGGCCACCATCAGGGCTGCAGACTTTCCAGGCTATTGTGCCCAGGCGCTGGGGCCTGAAATCTGAGAACTGGGAAGGACAGCACAGCAGGACCACCTAGTGGCAGGGGGTGAACTGTGGGTGCAACCCCCACAAGTCGTAGGGTCCTAACCCCAGGACCCCAGAACGTCTGTGTCACCTTACGTGCAAACAAAACCATGGCAGCTGTCGTTGGTGGACGTGGGAATACTCTGGGCTCAGAAGCAGAGGCCTTACGGTTGGTGTCCTCACAAAAAAGGAAATTTGGAGACAGGTACACAACACCATGTGAAGGTAGCACAGACAGGGTGACACTTCCACAAGTCTTGCGGTGTCACCAATGCCAGCGAGCACCAGCTGGAGGGAACAGGACACAGGTCCTCTGTCCTGCGACACTCGGATCTGGGGCTTTGCCTCCAAAACAGAGACCATGCCTGTCCGTGGTTCTACGCCATGGGCCCCAGTAAAGGAAAACAATCAGCAGGTGAGCCCAAGTCCCCTGCCCGCCTCGCCCAGGTGACACTGAGGGCCCAGCTTCCCATTCCTGGACGCGGTGGGTGGGACGGGCACTCAAGTGCCTTGCACACGACGATAACCACACTCCCAACCCACGACCTTTTACCAAGAGCCTTATCAAGGGCCTTCACAGTGTGGAGAAACCGCATTTTGGGGAGGGCATGCCACACAGCTTAAAACGTGGGCTCTGCTTCGTGAGCTTCTGTTCCCCCATAAGCTGACAGCACCGCGAAAAAGAGGGCAGGAGGTCCCTGCGTAGCCCACTTGGCTCCTGATAATGCTGGGCTGTCCCCACGGCCACCCAGACTTCCCAGGACAGGGCAGGCTCCGCCCCCATGCGACCCCGGCCTTCCCACTGTCACACAAGTGCAGTAATTCCCAAACCTCAGTGGGGAGGGGAGGATGTGGGTCAGGGATTCATGGAGTGTTGGCAAGGGACACACGGACACGCGGCGGGGACGACCCAGTCCTTCCCTCTCAGAACACTGGAGGGGGTCCTTGAAGTGCCCGGACCGGCGGAGACAAGCCCTCCCTGCTTTTTGGCACAGCAGAGACAACAAATGCTCAGTAGGCCGCTATCTCGTTTCTACCTGAGAGCAAAGGGCAGGAGAGGCGATTCTGTCCAGAGGGGGTGGAGGTGGCGGGAGGGGTCCGGGGCCTCGGGACAGGTCAGTACCGAGCAGCTGGAGGAATGCGCGCCCGCCAACGGGCCCCTCAGTAGGAGTTCAGAGCCTGCTTGGACCGGCGTTTCATGTGCAGACGCTGGTGGCGGAGGAGGTCACAGTTCTGCGAGAAGCTCTTGACGCAGTAGCGGCACTGAAAGGGCCGGGCCCTGTCCTCGCCATGCGCACTGCTGCGGTGGCGCGCCAGGTGGTCTGGCCGCTGGAAGGCCTTGCCACACTCGCAGCACTGGACGCTGAGCTCGGCTGCGCCCTGGGCCAGCAGGACGCCTGGGCCCGCGCCCCCGGAGCCCATGGCCGCCCCGGAGCCTCCGAGCTCTTTCCCCCGGTCCCTGCGCAGGTGTGTGCGCCTGTGCGACAGCAGGTGGGAGTTGAGACGGAAGCTCTTCCCACACGCACCACAGCGGTAGGGCTTCTGCGCCTCGTGGATCTCCAGGTGTCCATCCAGGTCCTCGCTGTCACTGAACAGCTCGCCGCACACCGAGCACTCGTGCGGCTTCTCCTGCTCCCTGCGGCTCCGCAGGTGCCGGATGAAGTTGACCCTCCAGCGGAAGATCTTCCCGCAGTTTGGACAGATGTAGGACTTTTTGGAGGAGGACGTCGCCATCTCGCTGCCAGCCTCGGCACCACTCCGACGCGACGTGGGGAGGCCGTGCTGCTTCTCTGTGGGTCCTGGTGACCCGTCCGTGCAGTAGGGGCCAAGCTGGGAGTCCTCGTCCCCAGAACTGGACAGGATGATCTCGATGGTTACCTCCTCATCCAGGCCGTTCTCAGGCGTCAGTGTGTCACCTCCGGCTGCGGGAAAGCCATGGGCAAGGTCAGCAGTGCAGGGCCAGCTCCAGCCCAGCTGGGATTCCTTCCCACTCAGCCCCAAGACCCTCTCCTTATTCTTCTCCACTGCTGAGAGCCCTATTACTTATCAGTGTTACCTTCTGGCCGTGGATGTGCATCGGGGGCGTTAAGAACTTCAGGAGAGAGAAAGACCCTAGAGACCCTGTATCCCATGAAGGCAGCAGCAGGATGGTGCCCGCAACCAGGAGACGCGCAAGTGAATGCTCCAGGGGCTTCATGACCCTTCTGATACCGACAGCCCCATCTGCTCTGGACATAACTGGGTGACCTCTTACTTGCCACACGAGCAAACCTGGGTGACACATGCCAGGCTCAGGGCCGTACAGGGAGGTAGCGTCACTGTGCCAATGTCCCCACCACCCAGGCCACCTGTCCCCAGGGCCATCTGTCCTTAGGGTCACCTGTCTCCAGTGCCACCTGTCCTCTGGACCACCTGTCCTTCTGAGACCCACCCTGCAGCAGACAGGGCTGGTGGCCAGTAGCTCTGGACTTTATGACCCAGTGTGAAGCAGACTTGATGAATCCCGCATCTGCTCCTAGAGGTGGGGGGATTGCGCAGTGCCTGGCAGGAGGCTCCAGCCCACCACCCACACCCAGGGCTCCCCCCGGTCCCCACTGTTGTGTAATGTGAGACTCAGGTCCAGAATGGGTAGCGGCGCTGGCAGAGGCCTGGTTCTGGATTCAATCCCCGGAGGGAGGAGAAGTCGTGAGGTTAGCAGAGCCGAGGGCGGGCAGACAAGGGGCCATGGGGAGCATGGGGAACCTTGTTCCCCAGAGGATGGCAGACAGGGCCGCACACAGCATGCAGTGGGGGCGGGAAGACACCAGGATCCCTGGAAAGTCCCGTTTCATCCACAGTGGAGTGGGCAGGGGCGTTCTGGAGAGAACACCGGGGGTCTGGGTGAGCGTCAAGGACCAGGTGTGAGGGCTGTAATCTGCTCAGGGAACCACACTAGGCCGTTCAGGGGCACTGGTGGAGGGTGTGCCTGTCGGACGTCCTGACCAGGGCTACCCGAGGGCCAGTGCTGAGCCCAAATTGTGTGGCTCAGGGATGCTGCTGGTGCCATGAATCCTCCAGAATGGGAGGAGCTGGGGGAGGCAGTCAGCCCACTCGGCCAGGCCAGCAGAGCTACTGGGCCCCTCCTCATGAAGACAGGGCACAGTCAGACAGGGCACAGAGGCTGCTGGAGGGGGGCGACGGGGTGCAGAGGCTGCAGGGGTGGCAGTGACAGGGTGCAGAGGCCGCCGGGGGAGGGACGGGGCTGCCGCAGTGTTCACAAGCCCATGGTGATAGCACCCTGGGCCCGCTGTTATGCTCTGGCCTCTTGGTGTCACGATTTGCCCTGGAGATGCCACACTTGCTTGGAAACCACCCGCCTTTCTTCTCCCCAGTCTCTTCCTCTGGGGAAGAGGTGGAGAGACCAGTGCATGCTTGGAGCTATAGGGGGACATGCCTGGGGTCCCACCAAACCCTAAGCCACAGGACATCTGGGTGAGATGTGTTGTGGGGCAGATGCTGGAAGAGATGCAGGGATGTCTGGGGAGAGTGGGGGTGTGGCCTGCAAAGGGCACGTGAACTGTGGGGAGCTGAGGGCGGAATGCAACAAGCTCAGAGGAGTCCAAGGCCCGGTCCTGTGTGAGTGACTGTGTGGGCAAGGTCACCAGAGCAGGCCCTCCTCCAGCAGGTGTCCTTGTGACACGATACCAAGGCACACATGACCTGACACAGCCGTCCAGGCCATGCACCCCCACCCCCCAAGCCATGTGGCCTCAAAGTTCCTGGGAAATCTGTCTGTTGCCTAGGCCTCACAGCCTCTGCTGTTTTGTTAGGGTGGCCGCAGGGTGATGTCCATCATGCCCAGGAAGTCGGCGGAAACAGATGGGACCTTCTAGGAGGCAGGGACGAGTGACCCCAGAGTTGTGTGTCATTAACACACTGGTGCAAAGAGATCCTCAGAGATGAGATGGGGCTGTGAGAGCGACAGGGGAGCAAGTCAGGGAATGGGGGGCCTTAGGATTTCTGTAGGGAAACCAGGGCCAAGTGTGGGTCCACGTGCTATTAATGTGAATTCATCCTCAATGCCCAGAGCACTTGGCTGCCGTGACACTGACATGTGCTCTACGGGGAAGAACAGAGACGCCAGAGCATGTGTGTGTGGGAACGAGTCCCCGCGAGGGCAGCGGAGGTGCACAAGAGCCAAGAAATACAAGTCCAGGCATTGTATGAAATGCAGCCTCACAGTGCTGGAATGGGGAGGCTTTCCTACGAGATAATAAGCCCTAGAAAGACATGATGAATATATTTATATTTTTAAAACGTGTGTGTGGGAACATGTGCTGGGAGACACATAAGGTTTTAAAAAGAGGGAGGAGTTACGTGCAAAGGCACAAGAGGCAAGAGACTGGGGCGCAGGACCTTGAGTTCCTGGGACGTTCCCAGAGGGACCTGCTGTGGCTCGGGGACATGGGAGCCCTGATCCTGACGTAATGGTATCAAGCGGTGGGGCCTGAAGAGGTCGCGGGGTCTCCACGCAGCCGTGGAGGAGCCCCTGCAGGAGCATGGGGACCCAGGGGTGCGCCAGCAGGCACAAGGACGGGCATGTGCACGCCCCCGTGGAATGACACACGGATTGCCCCGCATCCACGGCCCCCTGAGCTCTGGAGTTGGCAATTCCCCAGCTCCAGGACCCTGGCAGGGAAATGTCGCCTTCCTGTGTCAGCAGAGCCGCCGCCGCCTGCACCTAGGTCGGGTGGGTCATCTGCTTGCTGTGTACTGAGCTCGCACGGACCGTCCACAGCGCAGTGTCCCACGTATGGACGAGGCAACGTGCACAAACACAGCGAGTCACCCCGGGGCGGCAGTACCAGGTCGGGACCGGGAGCATCCCCATGTGCACATGGTGGGTGTGGTGCCTGCTGTGCCCTCAGAGGCCAAGGCCGGCAAGGTGCTTGGAAACCCAGCATCTGCCCCTGTTCTCTGACAACCCCAGCATCCTGCACTTCCCAGATTATGTGCAAGGCCTGGTGCTGATGACACCCCCGCCGTGTCCATCTTCTGATGGTGCGGAAGGGGCTGTACGCAGGAGTGCAGGCGGGAGTCGACGAGGATGCTCAGTGCCGCCGTGGGTACTGCTCAGGCTGTGCCCACTGAGCACGCAGGTGCGGGCTGTCACGGGGACGCCTGCAGGGAGGGGGCCACGAAAATACCCCAGACCACGCGCACCTTGCCTCCACCAGGCCTCACGGGCCAAACTGACCACGTGTTATTCAGTCCACAAAGCCGAGGGAACCTACCCCCAGAGCATGGTGGTTCACGTGCGAAGCAGCAGCCACCAGGATGGCTATTTGACTGTGTGGACTGCGGCTGCCCGGTGGACAGGTGGAGCACCCCTCATGTCTGATACCCACACACCCGGCCTTCCAGCTCCTACCTGCCCACAGCAGCACCGGAGCCCCCCTTCCACACGTTCAGGTTGGCACGGAGGGGTGTCCCTGCCTGAGGGGTCCTGGCACAGCCATCAGGGCACACAGCTGAGATAACCCAAGGGAGCAGTAGGCAAGACCTCATGGGCGCCGGGATAACCCTGCACACACACACACACACACCCATGCCCTCCGGTACCTGGGCAGGTGCTCTGACCCAGGGCCATCTGCTGGCAGGTCTGGAACTCTGGCACCTGGAGCTCGTCTCGTTTCCGTCTTTCTTCTACCTGGAATGGCTGAAGACTCGGAAAGTCTTTCCAGAAAAGAAAATGGAAAAATCGATTTGCCTTGCTCTGCCCTGCCAGGCTGCAGTCTGAATAGCCCTGGGCTCATGCTCCAGGTGGAGGCCATAACTCCATAAACAAGGCCAACCCCGTGACATGGTGCGGAAGGTGGTGACTGTGGATCACGCCCATTGGGTCCCAACCCCTGTGGCCGCTCCAGCCTCCTGTGTCTGAGTCCTGCACCCCACACGCAGCCACAGAGCCTGTGGGGCACAGGACCTGCAGGCCTGTTCCGGGGTGGGGGGCACTGGTGTGCTCCCTGCCAGCTTCACAGGCTCAGGGGGCAGGGGCTGTGGGGTGTGGCTGACAGCGCACACCTCACTTCCTGAAGGAGCGGAGCTTGCAAGGCGTTGGGGCCCGGGGTCTGCAGAAGTGAGCTCGGCTGACACGGAGCCTGGGGCAGGGAGCAGCGGGGAGGATGCCTGCCCTGAGCCCCACGAGGCCCTGCTCCTCTCCATGCCTCAGTGTCCTCACAAACCCCCACCTGCCTTCTGGGGAGTACGTGGCCTCAATCAGGCAGGGCTGCCTGGTCAGCCTGAGCCCAGTGCTGCTTACAGCACAGAGGGCGGATCCTGTCGCATCCCAGTCTCTGGTGAGGGCAGTGCTGTGCACCACCACCATCACCACCCCCACCCCGCAACCGCATCCCCAGGGGAAACAACAATCCCGTTTTCTGTCTGGCAAGAGATGTTGGAGCCTGAGAATGCAGGGGCGACATGGGGCTGCAGACAGGGCAGGGTGTGGAGAGCGTACTCACCCAAGTAAGAAGCCTGGGCCACATCCTTCCCCTGGGGATCCTGAAACTCAGGGACCTGGGGCTCACTGTCCTCCCCCTGGGAAAGTGCCAGCTGGGTGGCCGGGTCACCTGTTTGCAGATGGGGGACACACGTCCATCAGCCATGTGCTGCTCCAGGAACCAGGGCTGGGGGCCAGGAACTCACACAGGTCGGCAGGGGCTGGGGCCAGCAGGTGGGGCCAGGGCACCTCCTGCAGGACTCCCAAGGAGCCAGGCACTCGCCAGCCAGGCCAGCCTGAACCACATGTGGTTGATCTGCGAGGTGCCCCTGGGGTGGGGGTGAACATCAATGTGACACTGGCTCCCTGGTCTCTGGTCTCAGGACAGAGGATGGAAGTCTTACCTGGAGGCAGTGAGACACCACAGTCCTCCCCAATGATGAACTCTCCGTAGAAGCCCGTCTGAGCAGGATCTAGAAGGGACCAGTCCTCTTGTGAGAAGCAGAAGATCATGTCCTCGAAGGGCGACAGGCGGCTCTGAAAGCACAGCACAGTGGGGACGCCTCAGGGCAGAGCCAGCCAGGGCTGGGGTGAGGGGGTGGGGGGGAGGGTTGTGGTGCAGAGGTGACACTAGCCACAGGACACAGTGGGGAGGCTCCCCGGTTCTAGCATGAGATCCGCCTCACACACTGCAGGGTGCCCCATGGGGCGGCCAGGGACACGCGGGCATGGGCCCTCCTACTGCTGCTCAGGTGGTGGGCACCCACATGTCCTGGGGGGCCAACAGGGAGCCTATACGTGTTGTCCACGCCTGCCGGCAGCCAGGCTGTCAGGCGCCCCACTGCAGTGAGGGAAGGCAAACACCTCCGGCACTGGGAGCACCCCCCCCCCCCCGCCCGCATGAGGGCTGAAGGGGACTCTTTTCTCACACTTGGGAGTCATGGGCCACGTGAATGTGTTGAAGTTCATTTTAACTTGAAACATGATGGTATTTGCATATAATTAAAGGATCCCACAAAAATAAAGAAGTCCTCCGCAAATGGACAGTAACATGACAAAAGGATTCATGGTAACAATAAATGTCATTTAAAAATTACTCCTTTTGGGCACCTGGGTGGCTCAGTGGTTGAGTGTCTGCTTTCAGCTCAGGTCGTGATCCCGGGATCCTGGGATCAAGTCCCGCATCAGGCTCCCTGCACAGAACCTGCTTCTCCCTCTGCCTATGTCTCTGCCTCTCTCTGTGTCCCTCATGAATAAATAAATAAAATCTTAAAAAAATTATTCCTTTTGTTTGTAATAACCTGGAACCTTGTAACTCAGACAAAATTTGGGAGAAGTAAAGTGTGGAAGAGCTGCCGGTGTAGCTGACACTTGTCTGGGCATGTGAGTGAGGACGTGTATCAGGAGTGTCACGATGGACACAGACATTTGCACAAATTGTCCATGTACAGCTTTCACTGGATGTCAGCTGAATAACGGTTGTATTTCTCCACAAAGTGTTCCCATTGCAAAGGATTTAAAGTAAAATTCCATCTTGAATTAACCAAATAGTAAGACATTTGTATAATATACTAACATTGGTTTTAGAAAAGAGTTTTTTAAACAAACGTCCTTGCATCTGCCTCACTGCCTCCATTTCTGAAAGATTCCTTGTCAGGGCCTCCATTTCTGGAAGATTCCTTGTCAGTTGCCTCCAACCTGGGGTGACCCTGCTCTCCATGAACCTTCTTGGGGTTTACTGGCCAACCTGCTTTTGTCTACTTCAAAATGCTTATTTTCTTTGCCTATTTTTCTATTTTCTCATGGGTCCTTTTTTTTTTAAATTTTTGCTTAAAAAAAAAATTAGAACAAAACAAAACCAAAAAAACCCTTAACTGAAAGGGGGAAACAATGGCTTTCAGAAAATAAAGATAAAGACCATGTAAAAAAAATAACGGGCTCAGGGAAACACTGAGTATGTAATGAAAGAGTGTGGATGAAAGTTGGACAAATGGGGACGAACTAGGCCGTCCATGGAAGGAAGGCCTGTGACCCTGGGAACCTTCTAGACCATCAACAAAAAGCCACAGAGCCTGGGATCCCTGGGTGGCGCAGTGGTTTGGCGCCTGCCTTTGGCCCAGGGCGCGATCCTGGAGACCCTGGATCGAATCCCACGTCGGGCTCCCGGTGCATGGAGCCTGCTTCTCCCTCTGCCTGTGTCTCTGCCTCCCTCTCTCTCTCTGTGACTATCATAAATAAATAAAGGAAAAAAAAAAAGCCACAGAGCCAAAAAAGAAAATATATGACAGAAAGTCCATCTTGACTATGAAAAAATGTCTAACAAACAGTATCAGTGTCCTCAGTTTGATGATGCTTGGGAAAGATGAGTGAGGTCTCATTATGACTCTGTGAGCATCATCACTATGGGCCAGAGGCCGCTCCTGGGCACTGGATGCCGTCCTTTCACCCCTGTCTACGAGCCCGCACTCCGGGGTCACCCCCCCCCATCTCATCTCATCGTCCCATATCAAACCGGGTCACCCCACTTTCAGAGGACCCTGGCCCCAGGACTGTCCTCTGATTGTCCGGGGACTTCTGGGAACTTTCCAAGCCCTGGGGCCTGATGACCTGGCATGCAGCGGAGTCCTGCCCACAAGGTTGAAGGGTGTCCCTGCCTGCCCTTCCCTCTCCTCCTCCTCCCCGCGGCCCCAGTTCTCCCCAGGGTGGTCTGCGGGCGAGCAGGTAGGCTGCAGGCACCTAGAGGGTCAGGACCCCTTGTCCCTGGCCTTCCCCTCACCCCCCAAGGACTCAGTTCCCAGACTGAGCAGCAGCAGGGCCGGGGTGAGCCTGTAGAGGCCTGGGAGCCGGCTCCCCCCGACTCCTGTCTGTTCCGTAGGTCCTACCGCCACCCAACCGCAATCATATTCCTCCTCTGATGTGTGCAATGCAGGACACTTTCCTGGAAACAAACCTGCTTCTGGCTCTTGGGACCCCTTCCTTTCCTGGGGTCCCTGCCTTCCATCCCAGTTCCCCTAATCACTGCTCTTCTCTCTCTTAGGGGTTCGTGCACGGGTCTCATCTAGGATCTAACAAGTCCACAAACGGATGATGGTGCCACTGGGGGTCCAGCCCGGGCCATCAGGCAGTCGCTGCCCCCAATCCCAGGGGTCTGGCCACCAGGGAATGCTCCCAGGCTCAGGCTTGTGCAGGGATGGTGCAACCCACCCACCCAGCAGGGGGCGGGGCCGACACCCCTACCCAGACGCCATAGTCATGTTGCTGTGCACCTGTCAGGGAAATGCAGAGGCTGCTTGCAGGCAGACCTCTGTAGCCCTGGAAGCCTGAGTAAGGTCGGAGGGCCTCCGTGGCCACAGGCTGGGTGCTGAGGCCCTGAGGCGGCCCACCCCAGTCGCGGCGACATGCCATCACACACAGGGAGGTTCACAAAGTTCCCACGTGGCCTCACCTTCCCCGAGTGGCAGCTGCCCCCCCCACCTCCCGGCGCACCATGTCTGCTCCACGGTCCAGCCCACAGCCCCCTTGCATCCACTTTATGACGCTTTCACTGTCACCTCAGCGTAGAGGGCAAAATTCCCAGAACCCCAAAATGGGGAATCCGCTGGAATCTTCTGGGAAGGTCTTATACCGATGAGTGACCTTAACAAAGCTGCTGGCCAGCCTGACACAGAAATCAACTGCATTCCTATTCTGCTCTATACAAGTAACTGGATGAAGAAATTTAAAAGAGGATCAGAGCACTTAGGACAACATCACCACCCTCCAGATTTTGAGGAACGCTCATACAAACTACGCGTGTCACCTGCACACAGAAGGACTCACCAGGTTTGTGGGCTGCGTGCCACTTAGATGTCTGCACATCCCAAGACAGAGACCTATGTCAGCCCCACACAATCCCTGTGCACAAGACCGCAAGGCACTAATTCTGGAATCTGTACAGGCAAGAAAAGCAGAAAAGCACTTAAGAGCATCTGAAGGGATTGTGAAAACAAAGAACGAAACGGCCACACTGAGCCCCGCAAACCTCGCTACACTTGGAAGCCGACAGGGCAAATCAGCCAAGGTTTTAGCCTGACACACACACACACAGGGCTGGTTTTCGACAAAGGCACCAAGTCGGGAAAGCAGAATCTTTTTGCTGAGTTGTGACTAACAAGGAAATATCAACACAGGAAAATATGACCCTGCGCCTGATGCCAAACCGAAAAAGACAAGTAGGAACGAATCAAAGAACTAAATGCAAAAATCCACATTCCAGAACATTCTTTGCGACGCTGGAGCAGACAAAAGTTTGTTAGGACATAAAAAGCATAAATGTGAAAAGGAAAAAATATTACGATAAACTGGACGTCATGAAAATGAAAGATGATCGACCTTCCAAAGACCTCGTTAAAGCAGCAAGCCGGGAGTGCTCAATGGCAGAGCGCACTTCAGGAGCGAATTGGACGAAAAACTTCATCCAGAATGGGGGACGGTGAGCGGTTCCTCAAGTACAGTTGGACGGGCGCCTGGCCGGCTCAGGCAGAGCGGGTGGCTCCTGAGGTCACAGCCATGAGTTCCAGTCCCACACTGGGTGTCGCACAGTCCTGCCGATGGGGGACATCTGGGCCGCAGGACACGGAAACGACCCCCACACCCCCTTCCCCGGCCAGGAGGGAATGCAAACTAAACTGTTAACGAGGTACTTACTTCAATGGCCAAACTTTTACTTTTTCAAAGAAAATGAGAATCGCAGGAAATGGGGGAGGTGTGGGCGATGGCTCTCCTGCCCTGGGGAGGGGCCTGAGTGGTACTCGGCAGGGATCTGCTGTCTCTCTTGGGACAGATCCCACGTTTACCCCGAATTTCACTCCTAGGTCATTACCCAAGACAAACAGAAGCACAGAGGCACACAAATGCGCATAAGTGCCACAAATTTCCTTCAGAACAGCCAAAGCAGCAGGGACCCAAATGCCCTTGGACGGTGACCCGGCTGTACTTGCTGTGGGCAATGAAGAGGGACACCTGCTGATGTGGGCACCACAGTGGTGCCTGGGTTGTGGGCTGCGGGTGAGAGGAGCCGTCACTGTAACATCCATTTATGTGAAATCCCAGGAGAGAAGCTCACGTTCAGGCCCACAGAGGGAGGGCCGGGCAAGAGAGCTCCAGGGGATGCAGATGCCCCCACCCTGCCCGGGGCCATCATTACATGTGTGCACACACACGTGTCACTCTCCTAGCCTCTTTTTTCTTTAATTCAACCATACTTTTTTTAAAAAAATCTTTTGTTTTTTATTGGTGTTCAATTTGTCAACATACAGAATAACACCCAGTGCTCATCCCGTCAAGTGCCTCCCTCAGTGCCCATCACCCAGTCACCCCCACCCCCTGCCCTCCTCCCCTTCCACCACCCCTAGTTCGTTTCCCAGAGTTAGGGAGTCTTTATGTTCTGTCTCCCTTTCTGATATTTCCCACACATTTCTTCCGCATTCCCTTATATTCCCTTTCACTATTATTCATATTCCCCAAATGAATGAGAAGATACACTGTTTGTCCTTCTC